GCGTTTCTCGCTGGGGCTGTCCGGGGGCAGCCTGGTGCGGATCCTGGCCCAGGAGCTGCCCGCCGTGGCCGCCGCCCCTTCCCGCTGGCTCCTGGCTTTCGTGGACGAGCGCCGGGTCCCGCTCAACGACCCGGAGAGCAACTACGGCGCCTACAAGGTGTCCCGAGGAGGAGGAGGAGGGGGCTGGCTGGGCGGACCGCGAGGGGAACTGAGCGCCCCTCACCCACCCCGGGTTTGGGGGTGGTGGGCGGTTCTCTGTGGGGCTGGTTCTCTGTCCAGGCGGGCGATCCCTTGAGTGAGTGGGGGGGAGAAGCAGTCTTCCCCCCCCGCCCCAATCCCAGCGGCTCGGCTGGGCGTTGACTCCACCTGAGTGAGGAAAGCTGGTTAAATCTAGTCGTGCAGGGGGATTGGTGGCTTGATCCGAGGTGGTCTCTCACCAGGATCCCCGGAGGGGTTAAAGGCTGTTATAGCAGCATGGAGTATGAAATTCTGATCGTTTCCTGGTCTAATTTCCAAGGTGTTGCCGACCTTCCTGAGCACTAGAAATAAATGCCTTTCAGAAACAGAAATAGTTCTTCCTACAGCTCATCCTCAGCCCTGCCAAGGGTATATGTAAAGGAAACTCTGTTCAGCCATTCTGTATAAAATGGTCAGGGATGCTCAAGGAGGGGGATATAGTAATGGCAGCCAGTAGGTTGGTTGTCAGGGCTGGGGTGCGGGACCGTGATCTCCTTTCTACACAGGCTTTGTATGGTTTTTATTGCATTTGTTGCATTTTCTTGTTGGTATGACTGTACTACTTAAGTTCTGATGGGTTGTGAACTGCATGCTGTTGGAGTGGTATAAAAGTTTACTAATACTTATAAAATTAATGTGAGTTCCCCACATGTTCCTTATAGGCCTCAGGATCAGGGCAAGCTGGCTTGGTCCTCATCTCCATTTTTTAAGTTACAATCTCTGTGGTCTGCTGATCAGTATTAAATCTGTAAATTAAGAAAAGTGCAAACTCAGGATCTTTTTGGCATATAATTCTGTGTTACGTTTTGCTGCATATGGCTCTTTCTGTTTGGAAGAGCCTTGGACAATTTTGGGTTTGATCACACCTGGCAAAAGAACCCCAGTTAAAATGATTTGGCCATTTTTAAAGATTGTTTTGTAAATTTCCAAGCATATAAATGATTTGGCCATTTTTTAAGATTGTTTTGTAAATTTCCAAGCATATGAAGCATGACCAAGACCGACTCATCTTCTTGGCCATTGGTTTATTTCTGGTTTATTTTTCCCCTCGCCTATAGGTGAGTTTAAATGGTACGAATGATGTATCAATTCATTCCTTACTGGTACAGGATGTGTGCACGTACCCATCGATTATTTTCCTATCCTTGGTGCTTGGGGAAGGTAGCTGCCATGATTGCCCCATGGCTGCCCTGCAATTTTTAAAAATTCAGTACACCAAGGTCTATGGCTTTGAAGGGACAATAATGGTGATTATTGACTTCCGTGTGCCATTTGTTTTGCTTACTTGATGCCTCTTCACACGAGCTGGTACAGCCGTACAAGCAGGGAGTGGGACCATGTTGGGCAATATATTACTTCTAGAGATGGGGATATTTATATTCGTAAATACATATGAATATCCTTATCCCAAGTGCACCTGATGTGTGTCCAGCCCTCAGAACCAGCCTGTCCGCACATGTGCGGCTGTGCTGCCAGAATGGGGAGGCAACCTTTGCTGATTCCACCCTCACTTTAATGCCCCCCGTGCTGCTGCCTGTAGTGAGACAGAAGAGAGATGTAGGGAACTCTGGAAGGAGATGAGAATGGACAAAGATCGCCTTACCCCTGTCTGTGCTTTCATCTGTGGGATTCCCCCACTCAGGCACTGACTACTTACCACAGACAGAGCATTTCCGTGGTCCATTGGAGGCTCGTACCAGACCCTTATGCAATGTTTTCAAAGAATAATATCAATGATTTAAGCCTGATCCCAGGTCTTTTAAAAAATTTCTATAATGTGGCTTGTGGTTGTTTGTTCCAGACTTTTCTCCTTCCTAAATTTGCTGTACCCGAGGACCAAATTGTTGTAATCAATCCTTCACTGCCAGTGGAAGAGGCAGCTGCAGATTATGCTACAAAGCTGAAAGAGGTATGGTTGGAACTGTGTGTGCCTCCGGCTGTCTGAGGTGGCCTCTAATACTGAAGCCTTCTTGCACATCTCGCAGGATGTTATATTCCCAAAATCTTGAGCCCTGCCTGTTTCCAGCACATCTAAAGACACTTTTGTTTAGCTAACTTAAGGAACTGCAAAAGGGGATGTACCCCCCCCCCCGCAACAGAGCCACAAATTGTTGTAGCAAGGGTCCTGTCACATTCCAACAGTGGTTTGGCTGCCCCTCTGACTACCCCTAATCGGTTGCTCTGCCGGTGAGGAGTAATGGGAGTTGTCCAACAATATTTGGAGCACGACACATACTGTCCGTGTTGTACATCCGTCGTTTAAAATACTAATTGAAGGAGGGAAATGCTGGGAATGGGGCAGTTGTAAATTGTCTTAAAAGAAAGTACTCCCAAAAGATTAAGACTTGTTCTTCATAATTAGGTAACTGATGCTTATTAATAGCAACAAGGACTCATGTGGTGCCATAAAGATTAACCAGTTCAACCAGTTTAATCTATATCCAAAGAACTGGCTACAGTCCACAAAAGCTTAGCTTACAAATACACCTAACGGTGTGTGAGTGAGTCAGTGAGTGTGATTTGTTTGTCTTTGTAGTACTCAGAAATAGTAGGATCCAGAAGCACAACATTTGGCCTGGTAATCACAGAGGTCACAGTTAAAATCACTGGGTGGATTGTGTTCTGAGTGACCATGCTGACCAGGGGGTTCTGGGAGATATAGACCTCTTAAAACTAGAGCCCACACAAGCCAAACTGAAACAGTCAAAGCAAGAAACACAATATTTTGCATGGATACAACCGCTTTCTTACCATAAATAACTAGGTAGATTAGATCTCGACTGGCCACACTTTCTGGGGGTTCTGCCAATTGTAGTCTCCTTACTTAAAAAGATGCCAAAGTTCCCATTTTTAAAATGTAATTTATGTGGCTACTGCTATCTCAGCTTAAACGCCTTCATGGCTTAGCCATCCAGCAGCCCTGCTGGCTAGAGAGCCTGTGATGTTCTGAATTTAAATACCTAGTCACCTGAATTTAAATACTTAGGCCATACTGGCTGGGGCATTCTGGAAGATCCAGAAGCACAGAACATTCCATACACACTACAAATGCCTTAGCTTAACCTGAATTTAAATACTTAGGCCATACTGGCTGGGACATTCTGGAAATTGTAAGATCCAGAAGCACAGAACGTTCCATACACACTACAAATGCCTTAGCTTAAATAACTGCACGAGTTAGATTTTGACAGGCCATGGAGGCTGGGGGATTCTCTTACTGAATGGCCTGAGAGAGAAGCACCAAAATTTTGCATGGATGTTACTCATTTCCCAGCTTTAATAACTGAATAGGTTAGATAATTGTCTGTGCTGCTTAAGAGATTCTGGAAGTAGTCGTCCAAAAAAATTAGCTTGGGGATTCTGGGTATTGTAATCTTCTACTAAAACCATATTAGATGGGAACAACCAGTGACTAGGTATTTATATTCAGAACAACATAGGCTGTCTGAATAAAACACAATAGGAATAAAACACAATTACACGTTACCAGAACATGAAAGAGGTGGAAAAATGTTTATCCCACATACACCCCAACACTTTGTGGTCAAAATCTAGATTCCAATATTACAGCACTGCCACCATGCACACAGCACACTTTTATTCAGACAAAAGAAGAAGCAGGAAGAGATTTTGAATCCTGTGTTAAATTGACTTGATCCACATCAGTCTGATCACAGGCTATTTTCCCCAAGACACAGAGAGATCACCACCACCACCACCCCTGAGATTTTGCAGAAGAGCAAGGGAAAGAGAGAGAGCAAGGACGGGACTTATTGGTCTTTTACCAGAGCAAAACCTGACATCTTCACTAGTGTCAGATAAGACTAGCTAGGCTTTAAGATGCCACTAGACTTGTTCCTGTTTTTGCTGCAGCCCCCTTGAAATAGCTCCCCCCTCCCACCTTGGAACTGTCTTAATAGTTTACCTTATAGCTGTAACCTGAGGTATCAGAAACTTGGAAGAGGGAGGACAGGTGAAAACAGCTTCAGAGGAAGATGAAGATTTGTTGTGGCTGCTTGCAAAATGACTCTTGTACACCTTGGACAGGGTGTTGATGTCACAGGCAGTGACCTCATAGAGAAGGCTGGGGCTGTAAGAGTAAGCAAGCAAAGTCAACTGTAGGAGAGAATATTGGGATCTAGGAGTTGTTGCCACCAGAGCTGTACATCTCAGACTTGAAAGATTAAGGTTTCTAGGTTTTGAAAATCATGGCGGACTTGAGGTCATCCTTGAACCCAAGGCTGGGGCAGATCTAGCCCTTAAGATGCTAGATTTCAACTCCCACCGTTCCTAACTGTTGGCTGTACAGCTGGGGCTGATGGGCATTGGAATCCAACAATATCTGGAGGATCAGAGGTTTCCCTAGCCCTGCTTTAATGGTTTTGAGCATAGTCTGCCCATCCTTTGAATATACTAATGGAATTGTGGTGGCTTGGCTCCTCTCTTAATTCCTTAATGCCAGGTTAAAAATTCTTTTTCTTTGCCCAGATTTCTGCCATGTATTTTTTTAAAAGGACAGTCACTATATTTCTGATGTTTTTTTAAAAAAATGGGGTTTAGATTATGTTCTGTAAACTTCTCTGATTATCATGTATTGAAGGACTGTATAAAAAATCAGACCAATCAATGTGATGTTTTATTCCCGGGTTGTGTTTCTTCTGCCTTTTAGGCCTTCCAGGGAGAAGACATGCCTGTGTTTGACCTCTTAATCTTGGGAGTCGGGCCTGATGGGCATACTTGCTCCCTTTTTCCGGATCATCCCCTCTTACAGGTGAGCCAAGCAGATAAGCTGTGGAATCATGGTCTGCTTTTCTTGGGCAGATGCCATCTCACTGGAGGAAGGCATGCCCCCAAGGGGCTGAAATGAAAGAATCAGAATGAGCTGGTCCCTCCCTAGTCAGCTTTACTGAGAAAGCAGAGTGCAGCCAGATTACATTTTACTAATACCTAGCTCTAGCCCTAGCCTGAAGCAATTTTGAACATAATGGGGAGATTAGGGGATTTTTAGTCCAAAAAGGGACCTTTTCCAGCTTACTGAAAAAGCGCTTTGTTCTAGCAGCCTTGAGTTGGAGTTCATTGGGCCGTTACATCCTGAGACTGAGAAAGCCATTTTTAAATCTGGTTCATCTCCCAACTCATTGAGCCTTTAGAACCAGAGTGGGAAATGTTCATTTTTTCCCCAGATATAATTATACCACCGATCCCATTAGCCACAGTGGCCATAGGTGATGGGAGCTCTAGTCTGACCAAGTTTGGAGGGAGACACTTTCGTGCCATCCCTGTTTTGACTGTTGCCTTCAAGACACAAGTTGACTGCCAGTGAAACATATGTGGATGTGTAATACCTTTATCCCTAGTAAAGATTGGCCTATGAATCCTAGTCCCGAAACCTAACAGCTTATAGAGTGAGGTATTCAGGGAGGGGTAATCAGGGAGGGCATTGGGTAGAACTTGATAGGATCAACGCATTTTCCTGCTGTTCTTTTTCCAGCATTCTTCTTCCATCTTTTCTCTTAGATTTGCAGTATCTGTTTCATTACATACATGACCATTCACATTTTCCTTTCATTTACCGATCTTTAACAGATCCCCAGGGAGAGCTAAAAGCTTGAGGGTATTTAAAATACATCTCCAGAGAAAATCACCCAGACTAAATGCAGGTTGTTTAACCACCTTATTTATAACCAATTTAAATAAATTCATTTAAAATATAAACAGTTTTGCATATTGCCAAAACTTCAGTGTTGCTGCCTTTAGGGTGAAATATAAAAGAATTTATAATTTAGTAAACAAAATCTACTGGTCGTCTATGAGAAGGAGCAGCTGTAACATTTTCTTTTCTTATTTCTCTTACAGTAATGTGGCAGAACCAAAATAGCTTCAAAAATTAAGCAAATGTGGGAGTTTAACTTGTAGATTGACAAATTAAAATTGCTTCCACCAAAGTGCTCATTTAGTAAATAACCAATTAGACCATTCAAAGATCTGGTATTTATATATGCATGCATGCATGCATGAATTTAGTGGCAAGAAACTTTAAAGAAAGAATTGCTCAAAGGAGAAAAACTTGTCTTCCAGTATTTTGCATTTTTCCAGGGGTGGAATAAATGGTTCTAAATTTACCTTACAAGTAATGATAATGTTGAACTACATGAGCGGTCAGTTGTAAAAACAAACAAATGAACAAAACTAAAATGCTAAAATGCTGAGGAAACCATTAGGAAATGAGACTTTGCCAGAGGTGATAACATTCTATATGAACATTTACTGTGTTTATATATATATATATATATATTTGTTTCTGCTACAACTTCTGTTTAAAAAAGAAAATTCTCTGCAGCAGAGGCTGGAAGCATGTAACCCAGTTACTGCCTGCTTTATGTGGCTGTGTGAACCTTCTGTGGTCGGTGTTAATTTTTTTTAAATGGCTAGATCACTCGGGATCCCACCCCCACAAGATTTGAGGGATGAAGTTATCTTAGTGCTGCCAGCATTGCTGTTCCAGACAAGTGAAGTTGATGCAGCAGGGCTGACTAATCCCTTCCCTGTAATTGGATTTCTCATGTGCCTTATCGCTGAGGGCTTAGGTTGTGCGGGAAAGGGATTGCTTTACTTGTAACAGGTTATGGTTTGACTGATGGGAAGCGGAGAATCTCCTGAGCCGACCAGAAGCTTCTCTTCTGTTGTCAGTCTGCTTGCCCACAGGCATTCTTCCTCCCTGTTAAACAGGGTGGATTAAAAAAAATCAGTGACTAAAAAAATCAAATTAATTTAGACCACGATTGAAATCATAATTTAAATTTAAAAATCAGGGTTTAAAAAAATTTAAATCATTAAAAAAAATCCAATTAAAAAAAATCTAAGTCATGATTTAACCCTGTGTGTTAAACAAGAGGTATATACAGTGGTGCCCCGCATGACAACAATAATCCGTTCTGTTAAAATCGCTGTACAGCAAAATCATCGTCATGCGAAAAAAGAACCCATTGGAATGCATTGAAAACCAGTTAATGCATTCCAGTGGGGAAAATACCTGATCGTCCTGCAAAGATCCTCCATAGGGCGGCCATTTTGCAAT